CTGACGCAGATTTCGGCGTCAGGTTTACGTCCTGTTTGCGTCGATTTTGCAGCTGCAACAATTTTGATACGATCGACAAATGTCAATTTTGATTCTCTGCCAGTATCAATACAGTCATGGAGACGTTGACACTAGCAGAGCGTAAAAGGAAAATTATTTCATTATATATGTCTTATAATATATGAATCATATAGATCAGAACGGAAAAGGAAGTATTGGTATCATTCGCCCAGTCAGTCAAATTTTGTCCAATGCCTGTTATAAAGTAATGGCTACAAGTTTCATGCAAGATTTGCTGTAAACAACTTGCGCGCACATAGGCAGCAAATTGACAGCATCATGTGCAGCAATTTCGCTTGCACGAACATTGTTCCGGTTTTGCCCCCATTTTGACATAGGTTATGTTGCAGGACTTGCTGCCAATTTGCTTTACCATTATGTTTTTTAGACAATTTTTGTCATTTGTTGCTGGCAATTTGCTCGAAACTTCTACACAACTGATTATCAGGGTACATACTTAATATCATTTTTGGATATTACCGATAACGCTGACGATATTCGCGTACATTATTAAAGTGGAACACCATGTTATACACATAAAATTAGAAAAGTTTCATGAATAAAAATACTGTAAATAGTTTTGCAGTATTGTGTACAATGAAAAAATGAAATTTAGAACAGTAGTATGGAGCTGTTTCAGCTCTCCTAAACAGATAGCAAACAAAACAACTATTTACATCATCGTGGTGTTGACTAAATGTACAGAATAGATGTAAATATTTAAATATATTCTGTTTGTAATATTGTAATTGTTTCCGTCCAAAATCTCATTTCCTGTATTTGCTTCATATTACCGGTTACTCAAAACTTTCGGTTTTCTACGATTCTGGATAATTGACATTTTACCGTAGCCCTAACGAATATAAACATATCACATGCCGTCGATAACGCAGAGACAACAATTCAGACGAAATCACGGACATGACACTTCTACATTTAATAAAACAGTAGCAAAAATTATGGCACTAGATTTGCTCGTTATTGATTGAATTTCAATATTTGAACTTTTATAAATTTTCTAAAACTGTGCGCAATAACGATCAATACTGACGAAAGATGTATATTTTCTCGAAATAGTCGACTTAGACGCCCACGGTTTGGCAAAGTTCTTGATGCGCTTGAAGTATCTAGTTCATAACAGGTTTCGCACACGTTCATTGGAATGTATGCGAAATGTATGGAATATCGAACTTATATTGGTAATAGAGCTGTGACTTTATAAGATACCCGTGAGATATCCGAATATATGAGACAGTCCAGAATTTCGATTTGGAAGTCGACTGCAGCCGCGTAGACATACTGCGCTAATTTAATATACTGCGTTACGCTGCAAAACCATAACTTACTCATTCTTATAATATAACAATATAATAATATGTATTATTAGTATATAGTGCTAAATAACGCAGTATACGCGGTTGCGATCGAATAATTATAATAATATAATAATATATATTATTACATGATTATAATTATTATTTTTATTATTCTAATATCATTTCCAGTTTTTCTCAGTTTAGTTCAAAAAGTTTCAGGAATCTTGTATTTAAATGTTGCGCGTATATGATATTGTGAAACTTTACTGTTTTTTTTTTTTGGCATAACTGTTATTTAACATTCGTCGTAATTACAGCGTTCTGTTTACATCAAATGTTTGTGTCTAGACGATTTTTGTTATGGATAATAAAACAGAACAACGAGTTTGCATTAAATTTTGTGTTAAAAATAAAATTAAATGTGCGGATACGGTAACTATGCTACAAAAATGTTATGGTGACCTTGCTTTATAGAAAAGAAATGTGTACGTGTGGTATAAACACTTTGAAAGTGGTCGTGATTCTGTTAAAGATGATCCTCGTTCTGGAAGGCCATCAACATCGAAAACTGATGAACAGATTGAAAAAATCAGGTCTGGGTTAGGTCGAAAATAGAAAATTAACCATCAGAGAGATTGCTGATGATACCAACTATTCACAGCCTCTTGCATGACGATTTGGACCTGCAACGTGTTGTTGCAAGATTGGTGCCAAAAGAATTGAATTTCTTGCAAAAATGGAATCATGTTGAAATCTCAAAAGACATGCTTCCTAACGTGCGACTTTTTCTTGTTCGATCGACTCAAAAACCACTTTGGGAATGCATTTTGATAGCACCGAAACCATAAAACAAAAATCGTAGGCGGAGCTGATGTCTACACCAAAAATCGAATTCCAAAAGTGCTTTGAAATCTGGATCAAACGTAGGTGCATCGCGGCCAATGGGGACTACTTTGGAGGTGACAATGAGATTTATGATGAATAACATTGTATTTTTGATTTTATAAATAAATTCCTGAAACATTTTGAACGTGGTAGTATTCCGGTCGTTGCCGATATCGATCGAAAGTGGTCGAAATACGATCGACCCCCAAATCGAGATTCTCGACTGGCTCAATATTCGAATATCTCATGGATACTCGGGTAAAACTACTAAGCTCTAATTGGTAATTCTTCATAGTGCATCAAGTACTCCGTACATATTCTATTCGGAGAATAATACAAAAAAATGAAAAGAAACGAGACAATCAATGTCGGCAGTGTACGGTTCGATGGCACGCGTAAACTCGGGCCGCAGATTTGATCTTCCAGCACGGAAGATCGCAAATCGAACGCTAGAATAATTTGCAGTCGCAATCGTTTCTACGCGAAACTATTTATCTTTCGATGTTAAAAGCTGAAGCGTGCAGACGTGTCCGTTTCAGTCTGAGCAACGTTCCTTGAAAACGTTCGCCTCGCTGGCAGTCGTGTCTGAAAGTACCAGGCGGATACCTTGACGAGCAAACTTGGCTTCCGCTAGAGGAAAAAGTGACGTAGTGGAAGGGTTTCCAACCATGCTCCTGCCTTTAGATATTGGGAATTACTGAACTTTATGCCAAATTAACATTCGATTTAACATTTATTTCAATACCTAGAACAAATTTACCAAGTGGTAAGTACCCTTATGCCAATTTTTCCCCTAGTGGAAGCCGAGTTTGCTTGTAGGTGTACACCGACGAGCAAACTCGGCTTCCACTAAGGGAAAAATTGACGTAGGGAAAAGGTTTCCTACCACTTGGTATTGGGAATTATTGAAATTTATGCCGAATTAACATTTATTTCAGTACTTGAAATAAATTTATCAAGTGTTGGGAGGCCGTTCCCCTTCGCCACTTTTTCCCCTAGCGGAAACCGAGTTTGCTTGCAAGGGTACATACGAGGCGGTATAGATACGTTCTCCGCGGTACTCGAAGCCAACCAAGTGTCGCCGAAACCAGCTTCGGTCGCGTAACTGGTGTTTTGGCAGTTAGCTTTGACATATGACATAAACACGCGATATCACCGACGAGGATCGTCCTCGTTATCAGTCCGTGAATCAACGTCGACGACGCAACGCGTCGTCATGAACAGGAAATAGTTTATGCGTGACGAAAAACAGCGTAAGATGCGAGGCACAGTAGTCGGAAACATATACGATGATTCTGCCGCGACTTTCCTGAGTCGTTCGAAGCCACGACGTGGATACGAGAAATTTTTCTACGGCGTCGTTGGTATTGCTGCTGGAATTCTTGACTGATACTTTCAAGTAGGAAAAACGCTTTAAAATTCACGCAGTACGAAAACCGTGTTTCGATCAATATTCCTTCGGAACGTTCCGAGTATGCGTATAAACAATGTATATTTATTGCTCGGGATTGTAATTTACATGACCGTCCCTTTCCAAATTCCTGCAATTCTTCTTGGCCGTTTTACTCGGTATTCACTGGGTTTAATTTAATTAAATATTACAACGTCTCTGTCACTAGCTCAGTCACTAGCAATATTCACAATTGCGGTCTCCCCTTTCGATTCTTGTTTTCCTTTCCGATCAAGCCCAAGTATTTAAACTGCGAATAAGCAATATTGGCACTTCTTGCGAGTACTGTTCGTTCACAGAATTTTCCTAATTGGCTCTAGCTTCTTCTGTTTACTTTACTCATCCAATGCAACCACGAAACACACTGCATTCCATATTTTCTCAATCGTTTCGTGAGTACGCAGTATCGTCTCGTTCACTGGATGAACGTCGTGCTTGTTTGCATTGTAAAATAGAAAGGGACATTTTTTTTTTCTACCAGCATTACTTTCAATGTTAGTACACTACCGCCTCTCCTTCTGCGCGCAGAAGCAATTCGACGAGTTCAACATTTTAATTTTTTCTAGAACAGTCTTGTGCTTTCCTAAATATAAATTTCTTCGACCTCGTACATGAATAACCAACTGTACAACCGACATAAACCGGTCCACCGTGGTTTCGTATCGTCGGAGCATCCCCGTAACCGGTAACAGCCACGTTTTTTGAACAGAGACTGTTGGCAAACCATCAAACGCTGCACGTCGTCCTTGCCAAGACACATCCATCGGCCGATATTCAGGAAACGCTCTAACGATTTCTCTCCTTACTCTCTCCCGTTTCTGTCGTTTTCTATAGTTTACAGCCTACGGAATCTACGCACGGAACAAGCTCCTGGAAAGTCACATCGACTTCGCAAAACTCGTTTCGCGACACATTCCGAATAATCGGCCGCAACATGCCGACTTGACCGACATTCTCCGTGGTATCAACAATCGGCGAACAGAGAGGACTCGGTGGCTCTCGCTGTTGCCTTTGAACCTTCGCGAACTTGATAAAAAAATGTCCTCTCAAGCACGAACTACGAAACAGATTCCCACAGTGACACATTTCCCTCGCAGCTGTTCCGTTCAGGCAGCACGATGAACACCTATAAAGCAGATTCTTCTTATGATGCGTAATAGGCGGATCGTTTCCTCGTGTCGAACAGAATTGGACTATTCGCTGACATGGGAACCAAAGTCGTTCGTCTACGTCTGGGTTGCGGGTCGTCGAATTCTTGTTCCTCTCTTCCGTTTCGATCCCGATTCAGCTTAAACGACCACGTGAACGCAAATGATCGCCAGGATGACGGATGATAAGAGGACCCGCGATGACCCGGCTGCAGGTGTTTTGTCGCGATTCGACTTCAGCATTGGATCTGGAACAACGAGTAATTTTGTTTTTCGTTTAATCGGAGGAGTTCAAGTTCAACATTCCTAACCTGGGCGAGCAATTACTTATAACTAGACTGCGGATTTTGTGCATTTATAGCCTATAGGTTTCTGTGAAATACAGCGAGGGACAAAATTATTGTTAAATGTAACGAGTTTTCTGTTTTCTTTGGAGCTCAATAAGATACTAAAAGGAAGAAAGAAATTCCTGCTACTGTTTTTGTTTTTATCAACAACCTTGTAAAATGTGATTTTGCATAGAAATCCGCAGTCTACTTATGACCAAAGGTGTTTCTGTTGTTTCAAACAAGCGCTCCTTTTTCATTTTAGGAGAAGCATAATTGTAAGCACTGCTCTCAAAACATTAGGCTTTATCAAACGTTTCTCTATTAATTTTAAAAGTATTTACACCATTAAATTACTGTATTTTCAATTAGTCCGGCCTCGATTAGAGTATGCTTCAACAGTCTGGTCTCCTCAATTTTCAAAACATAACTTAATGTTAGAGAGAGTGCAGGATAAATTTATCAGGTACATTGCCTTTAGGCTGGACAACCCTATGCGGCGTAATGATCACGACTATGAACCTTTATTAAACACACTAAATATGACTTCTTTGGCTGATCGCAGAGTTGTAAACGATCTTTCTTTCTTATTCAAGCTTATAAATGGTCAGATCTCATGTCCTCAATTGTTGCAGCTTGTTTACTTTTGTGCTCCTTCAAGATGTGTTAGAAAAACTCATGTATTTTATTAAACTATAGTGAAAACTAAATATGGTTCAAACGATCCAATTTATCGAATCCTGAAATCAGCCAATAAATTCACGGATCTGATTGACTTTTTCAGTAGCTCTATTGAATACTTTAAACTTTAAGGCGTCTCCACATAGAGCACTAAGAATTGTTTAATCTTAGTTAACATTTTATTAAAAATTTCCTATTGCGATTAATTCCATACTGTATAATATATTGATGTAACTGTTTCTAATCTTATTTTCATCAATTGTTATATATGTATGCTGGGTTTATACCCGTTAAATTACTAAATAAATAAATAAATTAATTAATACGTATCTGAGCCCCAGAGCCAGACATTTTGATAAAAATACTCTTATTGCTCCTCATTTTTCGTAAATAATAAAGTATCATAGACAACTCGCAGTTCACTCACTAGTTTCAGCCCTTTAATAAAACTTCTTTTTTCAGACCAAGTTGATGGTTCTGTCTGCAGAAAGGGTATATCAATAGGGTATATATATATATATATATATAGTCCCTGATGAATATTAAGTTACTTATCATTTCTACATTTATGTAGGAGTATAAAACCGACTTGCGATTGTCAATTTTCATAATTTAATATTCAAAAATAAGATACCACAATAATCTCGTACATTTTTATTTACTTTTTGGAGTGATTAAATTTTGTTCATGAATTAGGGAATTATTGGATAAGAAAGGAAATATAGATAAGAAGAAGAACTTGAACTTTGTACCTGGCGTAGTGGGGCCCATGCCAGAACCAGACGCCTCTTCGTCGTCATGATCATCATCGTGGGCATCTTCATCATCATTGTCGATGTCGCCCTTTCCTTTCTTCCTCGAAATTGGCCTGGCACCACTTCCTGAACCATCTAAGGCTTCGTCAGCGAGCAGTGTTCCACTGTCGGGCGCCGACGCCAGTTGAGACTGTAAGATCTGGGCGACATAAAACCAAATTTTGTAAGTACAGTGGGGTAACTAACAAACTAGTTGTAAAACGTCCTTCGTTTTAGCATTTACATTGAAATATTGCCTGTAATTTAACAAACTACAGGAAAATACAGGGTGCCCGAAAATAGCTTCGACTCCCGGAAATGTGTGGTTCCTGGGGCAATTTGAAACAACTTTTTCCTTAGCGAAAATGTTGTCCGAGGCTTTGTTAATGAGATATTAACGAAAAATCATGACCAATCAGAGCGCGAGTCTGCCGGCCGAGCTTCCGCGCTAGCGTTGGCTACGCGCTACGATTGGTAACGCTACCGCGGAAACTCGGCCGTCAGACTCGCGCTCTGATTGGTCATGGTTTTTCGTTAATATCTCATTAACAAAGCTTCGGACAACATTTTTTCTAAGGAAAAAGTTATTTCAAATCATCTCAGGAACCCCTCATTTCCGGGACTCGAAGCTATATTAGGACACCCTGTATAGCAAGTGACCCTCTAATGCTATTCACGGTACTCTTATTAACAGTTTCGTATCGTCAGTTGTTTTTTAAACATGGTAACGAAGGCGAACTGGCACAACCGGAAAAATAGTAGATTGTCTTTGCCTGTGTTTGTTGTAAGATATTCGTTCGTTGTAGCATTCTGCAGTGAAGTCACTAGGGGGGGGGGAGGTGCGAAACCACCGTGGGGATGGTACCCAATGTTTTCAAACGTATGTTAAAAAGTTACATTTTTGCCAATTTTATCACTGTCAGTCCTTTTTTACAATAAATGATATCCCCTATGAACTCTTAAATCCACGCTTTTTAACGACCAAAAATTATACAGGGTGAGTCACCAAACGTTTGCACCTCAAACATCTTCGTTGTTTTCATAGATACGTCAAATGTCTTAAGGACAACATTGTATGGTTCAAAGGTGCTCACACGATGCCAAACAATGTTTGTTTTTATGTCATTTTTGTAGAGATATCAAGGCCACCTTCATTTTTCTGGAACCACCCTTTTTCTGTGATCTTGAACGACCTTGAATAATTATAGTTACTGAATTCCTAATGAAAGGGTCTATCATTGTAGGTGTTTAAAAAAAGGGTCGTTCCTAATATAATAAAGCAGGTAAAACTTAAGATACCCCTTTGATAGTTTTCGCAAAGTTGTTACGCAATACAAGCCCTAGCGTGAACATACAATTTGTAACTTGGAATTGTAGCCTCGAACACAACATCGTCATTCTTGATTATCATTTTAGTTCGGCATGTATCTAAAATCCACCCTGTGAAAATGTCCCATACTTTTATTAACACCATCTATAAACAGATCGTGTATTTCGGTTTTATACACACTGATTACATTCTGGTTTTCATTAATTTCTTTTTCAAGATTAAATGACAACTAGCATGGGCCAACGTGAATCTCATTTTACGAATTTTTTTACATATTTCTGCCATAAACAAAGAAAATATTACACACCTGCGATCAACAGTTTCATTTCCTCAAATCTAATACTGTTATTCGCAAATGAAAATCGTAATTTGTCTGAGTCAATACACTAACGGTTTACATCAGAGCTGCATAACTTCTGTCCCCGAAGTGGAGCATCGACTCCAGGAACAGAAATTACACAGCTCTGGTTTACACGAATGAAATAATTCTTTGGTAGGGGTTTTTATATGTATAAAGTATTTTGTTTTCTATTGGAAAACAAATTAATTGCATTGAAGGATTTATGCTTTCTTAGCTTTAAGCTTTAAAAAAAGGATGTCAACGAGAGACACGAGTTGAAAATAAAGCTAACCAAGGTTAAGCTGTGCGACAAATACAGTTCGTAGACTCACCTGATTAATGTGCCTCAATTGGTCAATGAGTACACTCGTATTCGTATTGCCGTAGGGAGTTGTCGGCGGTGACACTGTCGTTATGGTGAACTCGGGGTTGTACCTCTGCGCCATCAAACTCGAGTCTACCACCGTCTTTGTATACCTATAAGCATGATCGAGGAAAAATGTCGACCATGAATGTTATACCGAACGTAATACTGGACAAATTTTGATAAACCTACATACACCCAAAAAAGTTACAACATTTTTAATCTAGTCCGATATACAAAAATTGAATGTCTTTTTATGTAATAATTTAATAGTGAATTACGATTTTAATAGGAGGCGAATATTCAAACGATTTTGAGAAAAACAGATAAATACCTGTACTACAAGGATTCATTGCTATCTGATAAAATATTCGCTTAGAAACAGAACATGGCATGAACACTCGAGATGTGAAAAAGACTGACTGATGCATTGCCTCAAGAGGCAGTCGACTAGCTAACTGTTGATAAAACAAATGCAATCATATGTAACGTCATTGAGGTCCGTAGCCTGTTTAGTGTTTTTCAAACGACTATAAGCTTACAAATAAACCTAATTTTAACTTATTTTATGAAATAAAAATTTGTTGATTAATTTCATCTATTTTATTATTATTCACGAGCTACCGGAAATATTTGAAAACCGTGAAAAAATATGACAAGTGTACTCACTCTCCAACGTGCTCGCCATTCCAACATCCTTTGTCGGGATATTCCTCGCAGATCGTGTCGGCCAGAGTACCATAGAAGGTCCGAGACCTGACGACACTGGCCAAGAAATTGCCCAGCTGCACGTGCAACTGCGTCGGTAATGTTCTATGCGTGGCAGGAGACGCAGCTGCGTGTACCTCGAGGTTATTTGTCGTGGATTTCCCCATTGCAGTTGCATCCGAAAGCGTAACAGTCCCCCCGTTCGATGGCTGCAGTTCCGAGCGACCGCATACCTTTCTCACCTGAAACATATAACCGTCGCTTTTTTGGTGAATCCGTTCATTTCACTACAAGATAATGGTCTGCTGTCCAACATGTGGCCCGCGGGTCAAAGTCGATTCACCTGGCCAATTTGTTGCATTCCAAATTTAAGAAAAATATGAATCAAAGATCTGGGTTGGTGCCCGTGGAGCGCTAATCCGCTCTGCTTGTTATTATTTTCAATTTGTAAAAGAGAACTTCTTCTTTTAAACTCTAACTTATTATTTTATTAATATAAATTTAAACAATAACAAACAATTCAATTTAAATGAAATACAATTTCATCTAGTCGTTATACAATTTCATTTAACACAAAATAAATAATACAATTATTTGTAACTTTTAAATACAGGTTTACTATTAGACGTCAGAATCAAGTTCTTAATGGAAAATCATTCTGATTTTCTATCAGTTTTTATACATGATGTTTTTCTGTTCTTCTTTATAACAAATTTTATGAATAAGATCTGTAACGACTAATGTAATTGGACAATTTTATCTTTTAAACGAGCGGTCCACCTTTTCTATGAACAATTCCTTAGCAACTAATTAATAAACATTATATTTTGACATTTAATCAATTAATTATAAGAGTTGAATATAGCGCCTTTAAAAGAACCAAATCAATGATACAGACGAATATGCCAAACACAAGTCCTAACTCGATGTCAGTATTTATTACAAAAAATCTACTGCTCGTTACGGAGTTAATTTTAATGTTTTCATCTACAAAAATAGTTTACCTTGAAGGTAGGATTCCAAAGAATACTGTACTAGTGCGAGAGGACTACGGCCTGCTTATTGTAAACGCGCAGCCTTCAGTTTAGGTTTAGGTCATTTTTGGCGGGACCACTCGAAGCATCGATAGCCTGCAGCCACTGTATGGTGACGTTGCCTACTAGTGATGGGCACCATCGACTAAAAACTATCGACTAAGTCGATAGTAACCAACGACTACTTTCAGTCGACTAATTTTTTCAATCGTCGACTACTTTAGTCGCTTGAAGCGACTACTTTCAGTCGACTAGTATTAGTCGCTTGAAGCAATTACTTTCAGGCGACTAATATTAGTCGCTTGAAGCGACTACTTTAGTCGATTAAATTTAACCGCTTCAAGCGACTCGTTTGAACTATCGAGCTATTGATCGCTATTGACTGGATCTTGATTATTTTCTTCGCGTTGCAAACCAATTGCGATTTTTTCATATATTTTTTTTATGCATTACCAAGAACTGTACAAATTATTGCTTATAACCTAATTGATTTCAATAAAAAATTTAGAGCAGTTAATTTTTTAAGTGCCAATATTAAATAGCTTACAAAACATCGAATATTAGTAATTGTTTAAGGAAACTTGTTTACCACTTATATTTTTGAAATTCTATCTATGAACTAATACATTTCTAAAAGGTAAATACACCAATGGTGCTGAAAAGTTGACGACATAATCTATACATAACCTATAAAGCAAACTTTCAGTCGATGATGCCCATCACTATTGCCTACTTCGTTTGGATATGAGGTTACTGTTACTTTTAAGTGTGCACGTGTGCGTGTGTTTGCTGTAAGAAGGAGGGATAAAGAGAGGGAGGACAGAGAAGGGTCTAGGCAAAGAGTGAGAATAGGAGAGAAGGATAGGGCAAGGGCGATAAGAGCAGGGAGGGAAAAAATTACAAATAATTGGAAAAAGCAAACATTTCTTTCCTTATTGTAAAAAAAAATTTCTTTTTAATTTTTAAGAAAAAATTGGAAAGTTCGTCGAACCGACCAAAGAAAAACAAGTGACGTTGACGCTCATAGCAAACATGCGTAGACGATAGATACTACCAAACTCATTGAACCTCAGTTCGCATACGTTGATCTCAATTTTTAGTTTTATTTGATCCTTAAAATATCTCTTTTTCCGTACCATCATAATCTCCGTAAAAAAATCTATAACCACTTAATTTTGTATGAAAATGTCATTTTTTGTAACTAAATAAGAAGTGATTAACTTCTGAGCATCAACTATAGTTCCATAAAGCTCGTGTTAAAAAGAAATTTGTATAACGTTTCTTTTTCAACAATTTTATCGTTGACCTTGGGATTTTTTGGTAACAATCAAAAGATGAAGCTTTTAAGAATGTTCTGCTAAATTTTCAGCTAAATTTATAATTATTAAAAATTTACGTGAACCACCTTAAGCATTAATCGTTCCCCCATTGTGTATGACTATCGATCTATCGCATTGGGCCTTCTAATGTAACAGCGAATCGTGATAATAGAAGCAAACATTCGTCCGTTTCCATCAGCGCGGTATTAATAGCGGGCAACTATACGATAGCTTTGTGGCGGTAATAAATATCGATTACTGTAGGAAATGAAATGGTTCCAGATTCCATTTCTCAAGTCGTTAACCTCGTCTACCGATAAGCAAAGCCGCGGATAGAATAATATTCGAGCACAGGATCCGCGTCGAAATTCAATAAGGTGCGCTGTGAACTTTCAGGTCAGGTTCCACTGTGAAACTAATTTGTCTGTTTTAGTTAGCGCGGCTATAGTGAAAACCCCCTTATATCTACGTGACGTTGTTTAATTCCATTTGATTTGCGCAGGTATAAACGAGGCCTGTTCCATCAACGAATGGAACGTGAATGCAAGCCGCCCACACAAAAGCATTACCTAAACGGGGACTACACATTATCTCTATTTACACATGTTCGTCCTCATTTATGCATATTGATCCAATTAAGGGATCTCCCTGCTGCGACGGGTAAAAAAATCTATTTTTTCTTTTTTACATTTTTTCAAGGCTTAATATTTCAAAACCATAATCTTAAAAGGATTTCGTCCGATTCGAAATAATAAGGAAGTTATTAACCTTTAACCGAAGCGGTGCGCCGCGGCACGCAAGTTCAAATCGAAACTTTAAACGCGTTTTTCTCAAAACGACATTTTTGTAAATGGCTGGCACGATATCTCAGAAACTATTTGACAGGGTGACTTGAAACTATATAGGCATGTTCAGTAGGTGCATAGCCCCCCCCCCCCAATACTAGAATGAAGTTGATATTTGCAAAATTCGAATTTTGCAACTTGAAAAACGAGTGACTTTTTTCGCGAAAATCGGCACTTTTTTGCAATACTCCACCATTTTGTTCTTTTTCAATATTTTTTATTCATTCTAGTACGGGCGATAGCCACGTCCATACAGATTAAGAATCTTTCTCAATTTTTAATGTGAGATAACGTAGACAGCTGATATAATGGCAGCCATGGAGACACCTTTTTTAGACAATCCCGGGAAATTACAATAACTTTTAATCTGTACTATATTTTGAAATGAAAAAATTAAGCTTATTTTATTAGTGTATTTAAAAACATTTTTTATGAAAACTTGAGTTTTCACTTTATTAAAACTACTTTCCTTAAACTTTTAACTTCATTAAATTCGTGGTCCCATCACGGAACTGGGTGGTGCAATTAAATGGTACACGTTCTTTTCGATGTGTACACTTTGTAATGAATTCTTTAATTTGAATAACAACATAGTTATATCTACTGACACAATTCTATTCGTTCAACTCATGCAACAAAAAGAGAGAAAACTTTTGCTTATAAAAAAACCAAACTAATCTTCTTTGTCCGTTAGACGTCCGTTACTAGTTTTCTATTTACACAATACAAATAAAACAATTCTTAGTATTAAATGCGAAGATTGTTAATAAATTGGGAATCATTATTATTTGTGTATTTTGACAGTGTGTATGAAGTTGTCAGTGGAAGTAGACAAAAATTTAAACTAACCCAAAAATTATAACCAGAGCTATGATGTTTTGAATACACCTCTGCTAGGCGAAAACGAACAATTTTTATGATTTTCAAAATACTGTAATTCCGGCAAAATGTTCTGCAGGACATTAAAGATTCGTCAAAATGTTTTTTTCATAGATACCTAATTTTCGACAAAAAAAAATGAAAAAAATTGCCGATAATTATCTTTAAATTCTGTCGATTTTCCATGGAGTGACGCAAAAGGGAAGAAGGAGTGCACCGTGAGATAGAGAGAAGGAGAGTAAGAGTCGGAAGAAGCGGAGAAGGAAGCTATAGAAAGGAGGGTTGGGGGAGGAGAATGGAGGAGAACACCACCCCGTGGCGCGCCCACTGCATTCCATGCATCCTTCGCCGCTGCAAACCGCTTTGACTTGCCGATCGTATTCGAGGATCGAACTTGCATGCTATCGATTGCAGGTATTTTGCGGGACCGACAATACTCTGGCCAGACTTAAGTGGTTCGTACCTAACTCTCTAGTCAATAAAGCATCATATTAATAATTGGTATTAAACACCATCTAATACATTTTAATAATGTATCAAAATTACATTTATGAAATTCAACGACATTTCCATCGATCATTCATCATTATATTGTGAATAAAAAATATATTTTGAATAGTCGTATGACTCCACTGTGCTCGTTTCAGGTACGTTTGGCAACGTTGTTTTTGCACGCATATCTATATACATGATGCGTGTTCCATTTTCCCGTGTAGTCAATATTCAATATTCTTATATGTAAAGTTAATTATATTCTCGTGCATTATAATTTAGAAAATTAGAATTCACTAAAGCACGAAATAAGTAAAATATTTTTTAAATGTATTTGTATTTCGCGGGTGTGACCCTACTTTATCAACGTTACCAAGTCCTCCACATAGTCCCAATAACTATCCAATAACCTATATATCCTGGACTTTATTGTCGAATATCTTCCTGGAATATTCGGCATGGTACAAGATTTAGTTCATTATCAGAAGCTTAGGATTTACACTTCCAGTACCTAGTTTTTAGTTAGCAATTCTAATTTTTTGTAAATAGAAAAGGTTATACTTCTGGTAAGAAATCGTAAAACAGCCATACGAGCTGTGTTGAAAACTCAATTTTTGAAAAGCGTTTTCTTATTTATTTGATCGGCGACTGAGTCTTAAACTTTTTTTGTGTG